TTGAATTGCGAATATGCTTTAAATAACTGTTATCTAAAACTGATATTACAATGAAGAAATTGTGAGAAGATATATCAGAATCAATTAAATAAATATTCGATATTATTGAATAGGAAAATTAAACATACATTGATCTCATAAAAAAAAATGAAAATCTTGCATAATCTAGCTATCAGGATTTGGAAATGTTAGTTAATATTTTGGTGGGCAAAACTTTAGATGACTGGAATTCTTAAAAGAATACTAATTTGCAGAAATTATAATAAGTTCAGACATGGTTAGAAAGTGAAGTGAAAAATTTTAGTACAAAACTTACAGCACAAATAACTTAAATCAATTCAATAATTAAGTAATTCTATTAATTATAAATTTTCGAATAGAAATTAAAATTAAGAATAATATGTATGGAAAGAAGGTACTTAAGAACATATTGGTATTATTTGGGACTATGAATACGATCCGCCACGGTCAAAAAAAACGAAATTTCAAATAACCTTTACTAAAAACAAATAAATATTATATATGAGAGATGGGTAAATATTGAGAACGTATTTGTTTTATTCATATATAAAATTTTTATAGAGAGTAATTTAAAGATATTTCAAAGAAACCAGAAGTATTGACTAATCTAGAATAAATATAAAATCTATAATGGGTTGGTGAATATGGAAAGAATAAATTCAAGGTAGGAAATTGGAAAGCAATTTGGATTGAATAGACTCTAAAGGATGTTGCCGGATTGTACTCGATTGAGGGAAAGAAATAAGGTTTATGGAAGGATATAATTAAAAATTTTTGGAGTTAAGGTAAAATTTACAATCAATTTCAAAGCTTAAGCATTTGAGATTGGAGAATATACAAATGATCAAAGAAAAGGGATTTGGAAATAAATCTACATGGATAAAGAATTGTATTTATAATAAATATTTCAAAAAGAGGTAGTGGAGAATATAATAATTAAGGAGAAAAATATGGAAAATGGATAGAATTAAGTGAAGGATTTAATTAACATTCATAAGTTCTTTATAATGGTGAGTATAAAAATGGTAAGAAAGTTGGTAGATGGGAGATTTTCTACAAGGGAAAATATGAAAAGAAATTTACAAAAATGTAAATCATACATAGCTAATAATTTAGCGGAGGTGGATCATATGATGAAGGAGGCTCGAATAAGATTGGATTTTGGATGAAAAAATTATTTATTGGTGGTGGATCTTAAGATGAAGGATCAATTAAGATTGGAAGATGGGTTGAATTGAGTGAAGAGTTTTATGATGATTCATAAGTCACAAATAATGGTGAGTATAAAAATGGTAAGAAAGTTGGTATGTGGGACATTGTAGCTTGGGGAAGAAAGATGTAAACATTTTTAAATTTAATTTTTAGTGGTGGAGGTTCTTATACTGAAGGAGATTCAACTAAGATTGGAAGTTGGATTGAACTGAGTGAAGGATTCAAATATAATTCTTAAGTCACTTATAAAGGAGAATATAAATGTGGTAGAAAGACTGGTAGATGGGATTTAATATTTAATGGAAAATTGATGTAAAATTAATTTAATAAAATTCTAGAGGTGGTGGATTATATAAAGAAGTGGAAGGAGATTCAATTAAAGTAGGAAATTGGATTGAGATGAACGATTAGTTTTGGGAGAATTTTTAAGTTATTTACACAGGTGAATATAATAAAATAGGTCAAAAAGTAGGAAAATGGGTAGAAATAGATTTGGAGATAAATAAACAATTAAAAGAAATCAAATATGATAATTGAATCAAATCATAACAATATATCGTTTCTATTAGAATCTCATATATTTTAAAGTTTAATTTTATTATAACATTAATAATAAATTAAACTCAACTTGATATATTTCATTATTTATTTGCTAACTTTTTCTTACTAATATAATTTTTTAGAGTTAAAAATGAAAGAGATTATTTTAATTTGCCAATCTGATTCTTTTATACTTTAATTAAGATAAAAACTACAATAAATTTTTAAAAAAATTTAAAGCCTAATTCAATTTTTATGTTATTAAAAATCTACATCTGTTTTTTTTTTTAATATGAATTATCATTACATTTATATTTTTTTTATATAACAAATTGATTGAAAACAATAATTTTGAATAAATTGCAAATAAATTTTTATATATCTTTTAATATTATTCAATTGCTACTTTAAAATAAATTGTTGTACTTTTAAAAGTATTTTACTTTTATTTTAAAGAAATCTAGCCATTTTTTGGAGAAATTATATTCCTTTTTAATAAATTAATTATCAAGAAACTTTATCGTTCTAGCTATGTAATTCCAAATAAAATAGAGAGACAATCGTTGCATAAAAAAATTTTTAAATGATTTTCATTTTTTAAACTAAATAATTTGATTGAATGATTTGATCTTTCATCTAAAATAAACCTTCCATTTGCCTATGCTTACTAAAATAATTCAATATAATTTATTAGAACAGTATATCCTTATTTTTTTTATTCAAAAGAATTCAATTTTTGAGTTTAATCATATTAATTCGCCTCCATCTGTTAATATAAATGCATTAATTATTTTAAAATTAGCATTCATATTTTCTTTATTGTAGATATCAACTTATAATGCTTGATAAATATCAGTTCCTCCATAATCAGCCTCCATTTTATTTGCACCTAGTTTAAAAAATACAAATTGCTTAAAAATTTTATTTCAGAAAATTGTGAAGTTTATTCCCTAATCAACATTCCATAATTTATTGCTTTATCTTATAATTCCTGATTATATTGTTATGATTCTCTAAACATTTTTTATGAATTGCTACCGAATGAAATTACATTAAATAGACAATATTCTGGCTTTTAAGAATAAAAATAATGATTGCTTTTGTTCCTTCCATATATCCACTTCTATCAATTAAAAAAAGATAATGTTCTCGCTTCATTTTTGTTTATTTAGATACATTTGAATCATTTATATAAGAATTATATGCATCTTCTAAAGGTATAAGAGTAATAAAAAATCGGCTTTTCATAAATTAAATAATTATTTTATAAATTCAAAAATATGGTTTTATCTTTATTTTTCTAATATTGTTTAAGATTTTACAAATGTTAAAAATAGGTTCTATAAATGAATTGATACTTTAATATTTTATTTATAGTTTTATTGTAATTGTTTCAAATCAATACTTCGTTATCCTTATTTTGAAAATGAATGATGATTAAATTGTTAATTTTGTAATTAATGTATTGATGAAATTTCAAGTATCCAAAATTAGTTTTAATAAACATTTAAAGGCTTATATATTCAAAGGTAATTTTCAAAATTTTTCTTGGTGGTAAACATTCAATCCTTACTTTTTTTTAATCAGTTATTTATTTATCCTGTTAACTTAGTATCATTATTTTTTCTTGTTTAAGCCTTTATTTATATTTATATTCTTAATTACTTCTTCCAACTCCTTTACTATACCTTGAACTTTTTATTCCCCTTATTCAGCAACTATCTTAGTTACAGCTAATTCTTTATCTATAATGAACATATATTCTAATTAATTTGGAACTTAATAGCGTTATGTACGATATATTTATTAAATTTTAACTCTTGCAATTCAGGGTTAGACATCAACAATATAATTTACCAATTCAAGTATGATTGGTAGTTAATGATTGATATCATAACAAATAAATAAAGGGGAGGCTTTGTTTATTTCTGATGGTCTAATATGCATTAAAATAAGAGATTGTAATAACTATTAAAGTCAAATCGAATGTAATAATAAGACTAAGAAAGGACGCATTAGAATGAAGCACTTTAATAATTGTTTTTATAATACATAGAACAACCTTAAAAATCGACACATTTACTTAAATGGAATCCTCAATGTTAAGGTTTTCTAAATTCTTCATGCCCATAATTTTTACATTAGTTGGAATCTTATTTCGATGTTAAATACATTCAAAAATACCTTTTCAAAAACAAATGCTAGACTTTTAACATGTATATTGATTTTGAATATGATCACAGACACATATTTTTTAAGTATGTTGCAATGCTGATTATAGTAACAATAAAAAAAAATTTCAATCTATTGAATTTTTATTAAACCATTATATTAACACTATTCTGAATTATAAAAAGTAATTATAAATATATAGATATATTTTAATTCTAAAACTATTTTATTAATCTTTTTACTTATCAGAGGTCTATCAAGGTTCATATATTTTTTTTAATTCATAAAAGAAAGTAGAACTTTGTGAAATTTGCTATCAAAAGCAAAATGAATAGCTTTGGTTTTGTTGACTCAAAATTTTCTTAATTAAACATTATTAAGATAAAATATTTTTAATTTGATTAATACTCCAACCCTAATATACGCATAAAAATCGATTGTGATTACTCCAATTAAATGAGGCAGGTTTTGAAGCAAGTTTATTAAATAACAAATGTCAAATAACATACTACTATCATTACAGATCGGATTATCTAAATAAAATATAAACATTATCTAGCAATTGTGAATTATAAAAGAAAAATAATTTTAAATGTCCATAGATTACCTAATTTGAATTAAGATGTTTAAAAAAAGTATAAATCTTGCTAATATAGATTAGTTATTTAGAATTCGAAATTTCAACATAAGATCATTGTAATAAAAAAAAAAGTCAAGAATTATTTCATTTTAAAGAAATGCAAACTTAGAGAAAGTTTCAGAAAAAGCATTTAGCATTAAAATTCTATTATTGGAAGCCAAACCTATTTTTAGATCATAAGAAATTATTTCAATGAGACCTCAAAATATAAAGGCTCATTTAAATAAAATTTTCATAGTTTGATCTTTCCTTAAACAAAAACATTACTTAAATTATGAAATAGTTTATCATAAATTTATGAACATTTAGTTCAATTCACAAAATAGATTTCTGAACTTTCTTTATGTTTTAAAATAACATATGAAGATATTTATCTCCAATAATAATCTCGATAATTTAATCAATTGTTTTAAGATTTAACTTGAATCTTTCATAATAATTTGATTAATAATATCCAATGTATGGTAATTCTCCGATTAAATTCTTAAATAAGGGATTTTTGTTAATGAGGATGTATGGTTATTTCATTATAATAATTTAACTATTGCTTAAATTTAAATATAACGTTTGACCACAGTGTCTTTTGTTACAATGTCTAGACAAATTTCCAATTTTTTTCTATATAAATAAAAATATTTACATTTGATGGTTTACCGCAAAAATGACTACAAATCTTTTTAAAGCAGATCAAACATAAGTATTAGCATTGCTCTTAATTTCCTATTCTTTATAATGGTAAAAAACTGCAAGTTTTCTTTTTACAAGGTGCTAGGTAATACTTTAATAAAAATTCCTTAAAATTTAATTAAAATTTCTATATAAAATCTTATCGTAGTTAAGATCTTACTTTTTCTATATTATATGGCAAGAGTTGTTAAACAAAATTTGGATTGATGATATTCTAGGTTAAAGCTTCAACAAGAGCAAATTAATTTGTATTTTAAGAAAGAATGAAATTTAATCCTGACTTAAAATTATCCATCTTATTTTCCTTTATTTAAAATTACATTATTAAATTTAAAATACCAAACAGGATCTAATTATTATTATCATCAACAAATTATTATAAAATAGTAGTTTAATTTTATTGATAGATTATTCTTAATAAAGCTACAACATCTTATAATAACAATTGGGTATTTTACGATTTAAATTTAATTATATCACTCAATAATGAAAACAATAAGTTAAAAAGAACTTAAGAAAAAATTTCATCTAAAATTTTTGTGATTTTTAATTCTTCCTATGCTTAATATTTTTGATAATATTCAATTAGTTTTTTATCTGGTAAGGTTTATAAAAAAAATTCTAAATTTTCTGCCAACATCTTGTCATTAGCAGACTAAATATACTTTGGACTAACAAATGGAAAGTTATATGGAAGTAAACAAATAGGACATCTAAAATATTTAAACTCCTCTATAGAATATTATTATTAATTTTATAGTAAACATGATTTATGAATAGAGTGTTAACAACATGAACATACGAGTTGTTAAAAGTCATATTCTTAAATTTATTATACAGGTAAAGGAATCATTTGAATATATTTGTGAATGTTACTATATGAAATCAATAAAGTTCTATATTAAATTTCATCTTTTTAAAATTATAGTTAACATAAAGAACAAGTTTCTTTTGCCATTTCAATTGGGTTCTCTACAATTTAACTTCTAAAGTTTTGTCTCATATTGTTAAATTTTTGAAAATACTATGCTTTTTTTATCTTAGACCTACATTCTTTAATAGGATCACTTTACAAAATATCAAGGCACCTAGTTTCATCAAGCAACTTTGCAAAAATAGAATAAACGCAGTTAGTTTTTTAAGTTTAATTGATATCTGTAATCATTTAGTAACATATTTAGAAAATTATTTACAAATTGTTTTTTAGAACTTCAAATGGATTTTAGAAATACTTATTACATAAAAGAACTAAATTAATATAAACAGAGTAATCTTCCAAAATAGATGAAATATTCTTTATTTATCCCTATCCTTATCCTTATTCCTATTAAACTTTAATTTATTATACAATATCTTTAAGTACTTACTACTAATCGTCATAAGCAATGGCTTTCAATATGGCTAATCTTTTGTATGTTAATGTTGATTTATGCTAATTTTATTAATTCAACTCATGAGCTAGAGATGTGCCAAACAATTCAGATTATTTATCATTTTAAGTTTTTAATTTATCTATAATTTATTCTTTTAATTCTAATACTAAATCAGCAAAAACTGGTTCATACAAAGCAGGTAAAAGTGATCTTTTCAATTATAATTATTCATAATCTAAATTTAATTCACATGAACTTAAAATTATTTTTTATAGATCTAGACTGCTATCAAAACTAAATTTTTTTAAAAGATTTCTTAGTTCATTCTCTTAATAGAATGACTAAGCAAAAAAGATTGTTTGAAACAATTTATTTAGTCCTTTTTAAAATTATTCTGGGAGATCATCTTCAATTATATCACCTACGCATTAAATGAGATCATAATCAGATTATGCTATTCTACATATAAGAAATGATGGATCAGCTTTGTAATTAAAAAATTCACCAATTTCTTTATAAGTGAGGATAATTTCATTGATACTTTAAGCTCCGAATAAAAAAGCATATAATTAAACATAGGCTACATCGATCTATTCAAATGAGACTTCTTTTAATTTAGCCTATTCTTTATATACTTTAGCTTATCCTTTATATAAAGATGAATTTCCCTTTTTTGTTAAAAGAATGTTATTAAGCAAAGTTCTTTTCAATAATTAAAACAAAATATCTCTAAATTTTTCTGGATTTAGCCCGCTTGTTTCTAATAAATCTTCATAAGCTTCTTAAGAATCATTGTAATCCATTAAATACATGGATAACAAAGTTATAAAATTTCTATCACAAATAACTATATTTGACAAATAATTTGTTAATTATGTATCTTTTTTCAATCTAAAACATGTGACATAATTGTTTAAAAAGTAGTTAATTATCAATCTAAAAATGTTTTATAATCCAACTTTATTTTATTTATAAACATCTTTCCAAACATTAACTAAAATAGACAATAATTTTCGATATCCTGAATGTATGGAAATTTATATGACTTCTGAAAAGTAGAATTTATTCTTAAGGTTTTAAAAAGTGGAATGTTGAAGTTTGAGTTTCTTGGCAAGGATATATTTTAGTAAAGGTATATATTAATAAGGAATTTTTTTAAAGCAAGTTAAATTTGGAGTATTTCGGATTAATTGGGCTAAATTGAAATGATTCAGTGTCTAATGATAAGATTTCCATTATTTATTCCAAAAGCTTTTTCACAAGTTCATCATTGAATTATTATAGAATTATATTATCGAATTTGGAACAGTATAGTTTGGTTTCAGAATTACAAAGTGGTCTAAAATAAATTAATTTATAATTTACATATAGAGCAATTGATTTGAGAAAATATCAAATAATTAATAAATTGATGGATTCTTATTTTCTTTATATAATCCCAAAAGACCTACAAATAAATGTCCTGTAAGTTAAGAGAAATAACTAAATAAATTAGCTTTTTCAATTTTATTTTTGCAATAAATTTTTTTACTACTATTATCTAAAGCCAACTTTTGAAATATTTCATTAAGTTTTGAGTTGGCTGAATAGTTTCTAGTATTTTGTTTAAATTTAATTTCCTAGTTATTAATTTGAAAACTTAAATTGGATTGTATAAATGATTAAAATGTATTAAGATTTATTTGCATAACTAAGTTTTGAAATTCTCATCAACATGCAATTCATAAAACAAATCAGAAATTTAATTTGAATCATTTTTTAAAAATCTTGAGAAAAAAACATTATATTTGACGAATAAATTTAGTATTGAACATTAACAAATTTATTCTTATTGATCTAACGCTAAGTTTTCAAATTAATTGTTAGGATGAAAATGATATATTTAAATATCTACTTATATTCTACTATCTATAGGAATCTATAAAAACTTGCTAGTAGCATAGCTCCAAGTTATATTATCTTCAGTCAAGAACTTAAGTATTCTAAAAATTAATGTATGCAATTTCTCCCCTTCTTTTAAAGCTGTTTCTTTTTCAATAATCTCTGACATATTTTCATTCATAAAATTTATTGAATTTTTAAGTTATAATTATTCAATAGCCTCCTAGATCTGAGTCATAAATTAATCAGTGTAATCAAGTATTTTCTAAGTTCGTTAGAACAAAAGAGCAAATGATACCATAATAAATTACCTAAATCTTTCTGTTAAATGTTCTACATAAATTATAATTAGTACTTCCTAATATATTTTCAAAATCTGGTTTTTACATTTGAGATTGTGAATGCTTGGTACAAAAAGACTTTTCCTTCATGATCAATGTAGAATTAATAATTAATTATTATCTCCACAGTCACAACATCCTCCATTTGAATAATGATAAGTCACAACATGATCTTATATTAAAATATTTAAAATACTTTGATGTTTTTCTGGCATATAGCATTCTTAGCAATACACATGTGATGACTCTTTGCAACAGTCAAAACATTTGTAATATAATGAATTTTTGGAGAGGGGAGCAGAACATATACTTTTAATCCTATTCCTCTTAATTTGATAATTTTTTCCTCACATTCCTATTCTGATAAATTTAGAACTTATTAAACTATCTAGATGTCTTATTTTATCTTCTATGTGCTTGCTGTATCTAAAATTATTTCTATCAGCTTTTAAATATCCATTTTGATTTTTATATTATTAAAATTAATTATATATTATTCATTCATTATTTCAATTCTATAATTCTAGCATTCCTTGAGTTTTTCTAACTTAATTATATTAGTCAATATAAAATTTAAAAACTTCTTGTTACCATTTTAAGCTTTTTTAGACGATTTTATCCCTTTTTAACTTGCAAGTAAAAGTTTTTTTGTTATTTTTAGAGTTTTTATGTAATTATTAATTTGCCTTAAAAAAAATAGTAACATACATTAATACGCTTAGATCTAACTTAATAGACATCGATAATGGCTAAATCTCATAATCTAACAAAAGCTCCTCCATTAAACTTTTTGGAACCTTCCCAAGTTGAGAATAATATTATATTCAGCATCTAGATAGTCAGTTTTATTCTATGGATAGTGCAGAATTACTCATAAATAAAATAGGACTCAAATGAAAATGACTTTGTAACCTGATATGGATCTCATTGACTTTATGTCAAACTTATGGAACAAAAACTGATTACTATATTTAGTGCAGTCAGATTCTAAAATAGCATTCATTTTTTAAAGAAGTATACTACAGTGGCTGAATGGAACTAATTTACCAGAAATCCCTAGCCCTTAAATATATTTACAATGTAGGAATCAATAGTTGGCATTGACTAAATAACTTCTGATAAAACTTACTCATTAAATCAAATTACATAATTATTTTTCAATAATTAAAATCGATTAACTCCAAATTAGACCAATTCATAATTTGATTTGAACTACTTTACTAATAGAATCATTGATGAATTCTTATTTATAATTTTAATATTTAACTTAATTCTCTAATTGTTAAGCCACAATACGAGCGTTCCTAATGCAATATCTTTTTCAAATTAATTTATCTGATAATTGACAATTATGTTTATTTTAATTTTTCAAATATTGATGAATTCCACTTGATGAATTTAATTATAAAATAATTTTGTTATTAAACAAAGTAACTATTGGATTATTCTAATTATTCTATAAATATTGGGCACTGATTTACTTGAAAATAATGAATTAATTAGGTTTTATATGTCTTGATATACATAGTACTCACTTAGAGCTTCCTCTATTAAAGCATTTGTATCTAATGTTGTTATGGATAGAGTCTTCCTGACATATAATTAATAATTTAATTTAAACCGCGTTTAGGTTCAATTTAAATTGTTTAAATAAAATAAAATTTTATACTATAATATACTAATAGAAAATTAATATCAAAATATAAAAAGCCTATTAATTATTCAATTATAGTTAATCAAACTTCAATAAAATAGCACATCATAACTAAATTGAATGTAGATTATAAGTTTTTGAAATGGAAGAAATAAAATCTAAGAATTAAAAAGGCAAGTGATAAGTGATATTAAATTTTTCTTCTTTCAAAAAATTAATTTTTTTTCGAGTTTTATCATTTTGCAAACAACAATATCATTTTGAAAAGCTTTTCATTTATTTCAAAGTCTTCTAATGCTTCTAATGACAAAGAATTATTGATACATGATGAAAAATTTAAAACTTAGTAAAAATGACATTTATGATTTTTATAAACTAAACAATCAAAATTCAAAAAAATGTCTCCATCCATCAGAAGTTTTTAAGCATGTCAACTTTCCTAGGTTACCTGAAAATAATCAGTAGGAGTGTAAAGTTGTAAAAATGGGAAAGGTATAAAGTTAGCTAGAATCTTTTGCTTATTTTTCTATTTTTTAGTTAAGTTATAAAATACATTAAATTAGCAATAAAAGTTTTAATTACTTAAAAATAATTTTTCTCATTTTTTTTTCTTTCTACCAACTAGTTTCGTTCACATTAATCTTTAAAAGTATTTACTCTTAATAATCATTCATTGATGGGCTCTTAGCTAATTTTTATTATTTATTGAATTAATTTTTGAGATAGTCCAATTATTTATGAAAACCAAAATATATTAAGAAACTTCCAAAAAATATAATTAGATAGTAAACAGAAATTATCAAGAATTAGGAATATAAACGGATTGATTTTTTTATAGAGCTTCAAAATACACTATTGAATGTTAGAATGAATATCCCATATGGACAATATTTAATAAGCCGCTATCTTCTGTCAATTAACTAAAATATTAAATTATATATAATTATATATATGTATATGTTAGGAGTATAGTATCTCAAAATATTAAGTGTAATTTTTGATAACTAATGCAAAAAACGAAAAAGCTTGAAATTTAAGATAAATTTATTTTTGAGATTTCAATTTTTCCAATCTCAATTAATTAGTGATTTCGGGATAAATTTTATGATATTAAGTAAAAATAATTGTTTCTGCTCAGTATATTTAAGATTTAACCTAAAATAACTAAAATTAATAATTTATCATTCATTCATTCTAAAGTCTCTCATTTTCATTTTTCTTTTTCTTATTTTAAATCAACATAGTTATAAGAATTCGTATAATAATCAAATTTAGAGCTCCTAAATAAAAAAAGCTAATTATAAATTTATCCAATTTAATTAAGTAATCAGCATCAGCTATCAAATATTTAATCATATTTGTATTCTAAAAAAATATGAAAGAGAAAAGAATATACTTCTGGATCAAAACAGTAGGTGGGTAAGAATTTAAATTTGTGAATAATCTATAATTAGAGAAGCTTATAATGAAGAATAAATTGAATTTTGATTGAGAAGTATCCCAATAATGATAGATCAAATGGAGATTGTTTGCATACAACCAAAAATCTCTTAGCCATTTAATTCATTTACTGATACCTTTTAAGCAATTTATGATGCTAGTTAAATTATTAAAAATAATGCAAAACTGATGGAAAAATGGTTACAATGCTTTATGTGCATATTTTCTTCATTCAAATCCGTATACTGCTATTAGATTACAATCGGCTAATTTAAATTATTTAATATTTTTATAAATTGCATTCACTTGTATGTTAAGTAAAAGTGGACTAATAGTGTCACTGTATATAATTGATAAAAGATTTTTTGTTGATTCTGATTTTAAAACTTCAAGAGAAGTATGAATCTGTGAAATTACTACTCTATGTTTGCTGCGATTTTTATCATTCGTTTCAAGCTTTAGATATGAAATCTGTATAAAAAGATTTGAAAAGGAATCTAAATGGGTATTGGTTAAATATTGAAGCTTAATGTATAAAAGTAATTTAATAAATTGTGATTTTAGTAGATTTTACATGAAAACATGAAAACACCCTCTATAGCTATTACTAAAAAATGATGAAAAATATATAACTTCCAAAAAGCACTCGTAATGATAACCTACCGCAAGAAGTATTCTAATAAAAATAAAGAAAACGATACTGAATCAGATAGATATTGCGTTTAACCAACAAAATGAATATATTCAAAATCTACCTTCTTTATAAATAACCAAAAATTTTATCAAGGAGTAGACCGAAAAGTAAATATAAAAATAAAAGGAAAAAAAAATTTAGAAAAAAAATAGATATGAAAATAATAATCTGAAGGTATATGGTTAATAGTTATAAACAGAAGTAATTTGTAAACATTGAAATAAAATAAAAATGTTATGATTATTTCTATATAATCCATACGCTAAATTACATATTTTCAATTCTTAAGAAAATTGAATAAGATTAGATGTTTATAATATGTTGATCCTTCAATTTAGGACAATTTAAAAAATAAATAAGATAGAAGATAATTAATTTTTATTGGAAAATTTCTAAATATAATTTAAATAATTTAAGAATAGAATTTTAATTTTAACAAAATAATTCTGTGATTGGATATAATTAATAATATTCAAGTCATCTAATTATTCATGAATTTACCAATAAATCATATAGCTTTTGATTTTAATGATCAACTTTTTAAAAAATTTAAAATTAAGTTGAAGTAGCATATAATTAAATTTAAGACTCTAATGGTATAATGCATTCTAAGATCAAAACCAATTTTACAATATTAGAATTTTTATGTCTACATTTTGATGTAATAGTTTTATAATCTGGATAACTAGTTTTTTAAATTATTAAAGAAAAATTAAGATCACTTGTAAAGCAAGGCCATGTAACTGAGATTGTCATTTTTTTTAAATCTTTATCTACTGTCACAGTTTGATCAAAGTCTGGCTCCAAAGATATACCAAGTTCAGATATTTCAATATTTATTTTTTAAGTCTAATCATGTGAAAATGATGAAGATTTAAAAAAACTAGTTGCTATAAATGAAGGAACAGTTATGAAATCAATAATAGAGTTACTGCAATCTTTTGCAACACCATAAAATAATTAAAAATTTCTAATTCCCCAAGATTTATTATCTGGAGTTTCAGTTAATGTTGATGTCATCATCAAATTGATTGATGATTAAGAATGCAGGAATTCGAAATCTAAATTAGTCATATAGATATTTAAAATTGTTGATCCACAAGTTCTTGATTCTCCAGTTTTTCCATATTACATTTTCTCAACTAGAATTCCATCTGCAAATACTTAAAAAAATTCATTATCCCAATTTTTAATTTTCCAAAATTCTAATTAGACCCTAATTTTTTTGTGTCTAGGAAGTTCCATATATAAATTTATTTAAGCATCCTTTGAAAATAAGTTATATCCTCCTACAATATCAGTAAAACTGCATTTTTAAAATGGTAATTAATTATTATATGTATTTAAAATAGTCCACCCATCTTAATCTACAAAATCGTAAGAATTAAAATATTATTTTAAACCTGTGATCCATTTTACTATAATAGAGATAATATTATACCATCTACACATTCAAAATTATGTAATATATATCCATCTTTACAATTTGAACAATTGTTAATTTTTGGTCCTGAACAAACAAGACAGGTTATATAACATTTTGCGAGATATAATCTAAAAGCTCTTAAACCCCAAGATCCATTCACTGAATTAATATTAGATTTCATGTTTATTAACATTCTATCTAAGTTATGAGAGTTATTCAAATATATGTTTAGTAACTTATCACCGCCATTTTCACCACACAATTATGTTACTTCTACTTAGCCAATAAGGTTTGATTAATAAGCAATCTATTCATCTATTTCTAAATAAAATATATTATTATTCCAATAATCAAATTTCCATAATTGAACTTACAAAATTATTTTATAATGTGGTGTTAAATTAATAAATTATTTTGATAGTATTTTACTTTCTGTAAATTTGCCTATTCCTCCAATTAGCAATACATTTAAACAAATTTACATTGAGTCAAACTATTATTAATCTAAAGTCCATCCATCAAAATTGAAATTATCAAGCCAATTAATTTCAATTTCTTGAAAATATAAACATTCATCAGGTGTATCATTGTTACAAATTTAACAACCTGGTGAGCATGCTTGTATTTCTACCTTAAAGTTCCTAAATCCCCATGATTCCTAATAATATGAAATTAAAATACTGTTTTTGGAGGTTCGTCTAAATCAGTTGTTATAATGACAATTAATTATGGGGAAAAGTAAAGTTGTAATTTGTTACAACTTCTCTCCATTATTCAAAATTAAGATTATTATCGGCATTACCCCATTTTACAATTCCTGTATTCCAGTACCAACTATCAGTTTAAACATAATCATCAAAAATGAAATAAACATGTTCATTATCCCAGCTGTCTATTCTATAGTTTATTTATTATAATTCTTACTTCCAAAACTGAAAACTTATTCTTAATTAATAATGAGTCGGAAGAGTTATTAATCTTTATACCTTTGCTCCTGATCCAAACACATTATAACCTCCAAACAATAGTATACCATCGCAGATACTTGAAAATTATCCATTATTACCTTCAATAAACCAGCCTAAATAATTAAAAAAAAAACCATCTTTCTCCATAATATCTGTAGAAGTAAAAGAAGTATACTCAGTGCTCCAATACTCATTAGCATTTATATTAAGGAAACTTAACATTATCAACCCTATTTTTAGCATTCCTATACAATAATATTAAATTATTAAAGAAAGATGGAACAAATTATTGTTGTTTATAAATTCAGTTAATAAATATACTTATTTAGGATAGACAATAATAATTTTTTAAAATAGTTGAATATTTATAAATTTTTTGAGACTTAAATACTTAATTATAATCATTTAAAATATAAATCTTTTAGATCATTATTTAGTGAAAATATTTTAAAAATAATTTTCACAATGCTATTGCACAGAGCGTGATTACAAAGCAAAAAAATAAATATCTACAAAATTACCGAATAAATTTAATTAATCAGCTTCAATCTAATCGGATTTAATCTAAATTGAGATTTAAGTTTTCATGATTTTGAAACTTGTATTATACCTTTGGAATATTTATTTTTAAATTATAAAAATATTAATGACAACATATATTTTTGGCATTACATTGGAGGATAATAACTTTAAAAATAGAATTCAAAATTAAATAACAATGTTGTCCAAAATACGGCTGCAAATTTAGGATAGCTGACTAAAAATAGTATTTATTAATCTTTAAATTTTAAAGAACATAGAGAAGGATACAAAGCATATTTCTTTTATAGAGTCATTAGAAAATTCTTGGCTTGAGGCGGTGACTTAACAAAATTAATGAAATAGGAGTTAGATATCCATTTATTTAGAAAAACTTGATTTAAACAGATTGTTTGAAGATTGGAAGAAAAATCTGATCAAAACATAAATGGGTCTTTATTCTTACATATTTTTTTTTGTTCCATTCCCTGTTTATATAACAAGCATATGAAGTAATAGGTGAAGCTGTTGATGATGCCCAACTAAAGAATTATTTAAATAAGCCAATTTTAATCATCAATTGGATAAACAGTGTGCTTGATCAAAATCGTTAAATCAGGAACTTATATATAAATATTGATTCTTTAGACCTACTAATTTCATTTACATTAAATAAATTATTTAACATTTAAATAAACAATTTTAATTGAATGGATCGAAAAATGCCTGTTAAAATGAGCTTTTAAAGCTTGTATGATGATAATGTTTTTGAACTTCAAAAAAAGAAAATGTTAACAGCTTCAAGAAATCAAATTTAATTTATTAATCAAATAAATTATATTAATTAGTCGCAACAGATTCTAGAATTTTTTAATACAATAATCCAAACAACATCAGGAACATAATCTAGATAAGCAGAAAGTCAGTATCTAAGAATAGAATATACAGTTTTGGCACATCCAAATATAAGCAGTTATAATTTAATTATTCTTATTATTTATAGATTTTTATTGGTGGTTGATATTAGTACACAGTTTGATTTAACGAGGATTTAACAATGGCTACAATTAATTTACAACTTCATTCTTGTTTCTTCTTATTATGTATTTAAATTTAGTTCCAATTTTTATTCAATCATTGCTATTATTAGCTATAAGTTATTCAATTTCCTCAATCTTTAACTTTTTTGTATCTGCAGAAGGAGCACTTTATAAGAAAAAGGCATTTATAACGTTAATTGTAAATAAAGAGACAGCTGCTAAATATACTGAGGCATACAATTGGTTTGTAACAGATAAAAAAATAATACTTTTGAGTTGCTTTGCTGCTACACCTAATATTGGAGATAAATTTGGAGATATTTATTCAGGTTCTTTAATTGGTAGAGATCATCTATTTGTATAAAGAATAATCTATGCCTAGTTGTTGATTATGAGATACCATATATTATTTGTAGTATAAGAGAAAAATAATTTTCTTTTTCCTGAATCTCAATCATTACACAAATTATTGTGAAAATTACACTTAAAGTAAAATTTCCTGCGAGAATAAATGTTCTCATGTTCATTCTGTCCCGAAATTACCCTAAATTGAAAATAAGTAATCATTATATACCCATATAAAAAATAAAAAAGCAAAATTTATATAACCTAAATATTCAGATGAAAAATAATCTTAATTCACCATTTACATAACTCTAAGTAGATGGAGTGCAATCAATAAATACTTATCAGAAACAACATAGGATAAATGTTATGATTCTTTAAGTTGTGACTCCAGGTAATGATGACGCAAACATAATTCTAAATATATAAAAATGATTATTCTATATTTGATGAATATATCATGTTATATATTAATTTTTGATGGATTTTAAGCTGTTTCTCATGCCTTGTAATTTTTTTATCTAAACATATTCATCGAATAATAGTTATTCAAATGGGATATATTTGTGTTAAAATATAAGGAACTATAAAAAAAAAGCTTATGATAAAAATTTATATATATTGACGCAGAATAACAACTATTAAAGTAATTGATTCCTTTTTTATTAGTATATTGATACAATTGAAAGTCTGACTTAATGAATATAATATTATAATCTTTGAACATATTATCATTAAATAAATTTTTTTATAATAAAAATCATCATATCAAGCTGAGTTTAAGGTATTTATTCACCTAAGGCTAAAATTCACCTTGGTAGCTAATTTGACTTTATTGAATAATAAATAGATCACTAATAAATTATTTAATTATTAGAGCGCATGTAAAATAATGATATAATGATGGTCGATTTAACAAACTAAATCAATAATTGCATAATATAACATAATTGATTTAACTTCATCAATGTGATTTCAATAATAAATTTATGATATTAGAAAATGAAAGATGTTATAAATTAATTATTTTTATTTATTAAGATTTGAAAATGTAAATCTTAAAGTGTAAATATCTTACTCATGAGAATGAATAAGTAATTGGATTTTGCTTGAATGAGAGATGCGAAAAAGCCACTGAATATTGTAATGAATGTTTTGATAGAACTCATTCATAGCATTTCAATGATTGTATTGGATTCCCTAGAATTATCTAATTAATAAATGAATTCATTCAAGTTTGTAATCTATCAAAGAAACAATTCGAAGAATTCTCTAAGCAACTTCAGAATTGTTTAGAATAGATTTTCTAAAAAATCAATTAGGATATCAAAATGTTAGAAAATATGAGACAATAGCTTTAGAACAAAGATTACTTGATTTTTAAATAATAAATTCATATAATCAAACATTTTTACTAAAAGGAAAAATAAAATTACACATGTATCTTTTTTAAAAAATATAAAAGGTTAATAAATAATATAATTGAATAATATTTTTGAAACACTAAAAATTATCATACCATACTAAACTTAAGCGAACATTAATTCAGATTATTAAAAAGATATGAGAATCGTAGAGATAAAAAAGGTGGACAATGAAAAAAAACAGAAGAATATTGAAGAAACTTAAAGAATATTAAATGAAGGTAATAATAATTGTATTACATATATAAGGTTAAGCATTAAATGATTTAGAGAAATACTAAGAAGCTATAGAATGTTACGATAAAGCTATTTAAATTAATTCTTAAAATGAAACTGCCTGGAATAACAAGGGTAATTAATTTAATAGCTTTATTATTTAGGATCAGCATTAGATAGTTTAATGAAATATTAAGAGGCCATAGAGTGTTACGATAAGGCTATTTCAATTAATCCATAATACTATATAGCCTGGAGCAACAAAGGTATATGTTTCATAAGAAATATTATTTAGGTTCCGCATTAAGTGAATAATAGAAATACTAAGAGGCTTTAGAGTGTTATGATAAGGCTATTTCAATAAATACCTAATATTTTACTGCCTGGAATAACAAGGGTAATTATTTTATAAGCATTAATATTTAGGTTTTGTATTAAAAACTTTAAAAAAATACAAGGAGGCTATAGAATGTTACAATGAGGCTATTTCTATTAATTCTTAATGTGATGCTGCTTGGTATAACAAAGGTACTGAATATATAAGCATTTTAATTTAGGCTTGGCATTAGACAGTTTAAAGAAATATTAAGAGGCTATCGAGTGCTACAATACCGCGATTTTAATTAATCCCAAAAATGGTTATGCCTGGTATAACAAAGGTAATTAATATAAAAACATTTTTATCTAGGTTTTGCATTAGACAGTTTGAAGGAATACTAAGATGCTATTGAATGTTACAATAATGCTATTTCAATTGATCCCAAACATGATTTTGCTTGGTATAACAAGGGTAATTAAATTACTAACACCTTTCAATTAGGTTCAGCATTAGATAGTTTAAGTAAATACTAAGAAGCTATAGAATGTTACGATAAAGCCATTTCAATTAATCCCTAAAATGGAACAGCCTGGTACAACAAGGGTAACTAACTTCTTCACATTATTATGAAGGTTCTGCATTAGACAGTTTAAGGAAATACTAAGAAGCTATCATTTGTTACGATAAAGCTATTTCAATTAAACCTGAAGATTATATTTCATGGAACAACAAAGGTTATTTATAATTAAATATTACTATTAAGGTTCAGCATTAAATGATTTATAAAAATACTAAGAAGCTATCGAGTGTTATGATAAGGCTATATCAATTAATCAATAATATCATACTGCCTTAAATAACAAGGGTAAATAATTAATTATTATTATAATTTAGGTATTACATTAAAGTGTTTAAAAAAATACTAAGAGGCTATTGAATGTTACGATAGAGCTATTTCAATAAATCCTTAAAATGATACAGTCTGGTATAACAAGGGTATTTTATTGTAAGCATTGTTCTTTAGGTTTTGCATTAAAATGTTTAAGGAAATACTAAGAGGCTATTGAATGTTATGATAAAGCTATTAGAATTAATCCTTAATATATAAGTGCCTGGAATAACAAAGGTAATAAATTTCTAAGCATCATTATTTAGGCTCAGCATTAAATGATTTATTGAAATTTTCAGAAGCAATCGAATGCTTCAATACTGCTATTTCAATTCATCCCTAATGTGATACTGCCTGGAATAATAAGGGTTATTATTTAGTAAAGATATTTAGGTTTTGTTTTAAATGATTTATAGAAGCATCAAGAAGCTATTGAGTGTTACGATTAAGCTATATACTTTAATTCCTAAAATGAAACAGCTTGGTGCAATAAAGGTACTTAATTTTTATGTATTATATTTAGGTTTAGCCTTAAAGAGTTTAAAGAAATACTAAGAAGCTATAGTATGTTACGATAAATCTATTTTAATTTATCCCTCAAATGATGCTGCTTGGTATAAAAAGGGTAATATTTTTTAATCATTCTTCTTTAGGTTTTGCATTAGATCGTTTAAAGAATTATTAAGATGCTATTAAATGTTATGATCAAGCTCTTTTTATTAATCCTTAAAATCATACTGCCTGGAATAGCAAGGGTAATTAATTTATGATCAACATAATTTAGGCTTAGCCTTAGACCGTTTAAAGAAATACTAAGAGGCTATTGAATGTTATGATAAAGCTATTTTAATTAATCCTTTATATCATACTCCTTGGAATAACAAAGGTAATTATATTAGATAATTATTTTTTAGGTTCAGCATTAATTACTTTATAAAGATACTAAGAAGCTATCGAATGTTACGATAAAGCTATTTAAATTGATCCCTAAAATGATACTTCCTGGTATAACAAGGGTAATTAATTTATAAGCATTATTTTGAAGGTTCAGCATTAGACAGTTTAAAAAAATACAAAGAAGCTATTGAATGTTATGATAAAGCTATTGTAATCAATCCCTAATATCATACTGTCTGGAATAGCAAGGGTAATTAATTTTTAAGAAAGGTTATTTAGGTTCAGCATTAAATGATTTATAGAAATTTTAAGAGGCTATAGAATGTTACGATAAAGCTATTTAAATTAACCCCTAATATCACACTGCGTGGAATAACAAGGGTAATTTCTTTATAATCCTTTTATTTAGGTTCAGCCTTAAATGATTTATAGAAATATAAAGAAGCTATTGAGTGTTACGAAAAAGCTATTTAAATAAATCCTTAAAATGAAAATGCTTGGTATAACAAGGGTATTTAGTTTATAAGCTTTATTATTTAGGTTTTGCATTAGACCGTTTAAAAAAATTCTAAGAAGCTATCGAATGTTACGACAAAACAATTAAAATTAATCCTTAAAATGATGCTGCCTGGTGTAACAAAGGTAATTAATTTATAAGCATTATTATCTAGGATTAGCATTAGACAGTTTAAACAATTTCTAAGCTGCTATAGAGTGTTATGATAAAGCTATTTAATTTGACCCTTAAAATGATACTGTCTGGTATTATAAGGGTAATTAATTTATCTGAATCTTTATTTAGGCTTTGCATTAAAGAGTTTAAAGAAATACCAATAGGCTATTTAATGTTACGATTAAGCAATTTTAATTAATCCGTAAAATGAAAATGCTTGGTTAAAGAAGGGTATTTAATTTATAAACATCTTTTTAAGGTAAAGCTCTAGACAGTTTAAAGAAATACTAATAGGCTATTGAGTGTTATGATAAAGCCATTCAAATTAATCCTTTATATGATACTGCCTGGTGTAATAAAGGTAAATTATCGAAAAATTTAGGCTTCGCACTACATTAATTAAAGAATTTTAAAGATGCTATATTATGTTATGATTAAGCTCTTTCAATTAGCATCAATCCATTTAAATTAAAGAGAAAAGGTGATTTAATCTTAACTAAAATTTAGCTGATTCACTATTTGAATTAGGGAATAAAAATGAAGCTAAATAATGTTATCTTTCTGCATTGGAAAAAGGATCAAATGACAAAGATTATATCTAAAAGCGCCTAACACAATTATGAAGCATCTTCAAAAATTATCAAATTATTTATTTTATTCTAATTATTCTTTTATTTGATATCATATTTATCATTAGAAAATGTTTGAAGGGGCAGTTACTTGTTCTTTTTTTGAAAATATTCAAAGTATTGATTTAGCTAATCTGCTGATTGCTTATACTTTTTAAAAAGGAACCTCCACTATTAAAAGCCATCAATTCCTAATTGAATACATAATATTGAGGTAATACAAAAAATACAAGCCCAACCAAAATATTCTTGAATTTCGTATGGAAAATATCCTAATTATACTTATGTAACTTCACTAAATAGCTATTTAAAATACTCCAATTTGTCCTCTAATGGATTAAATAAAATGTAAAAAAGGCTCATTGAAATTGATAGAAATGTAATGCTGACTGTTTGAAAAATTGGAAATTCATAAGCAAAAATCAATAAAATCATAAAGATCAATTTTTTGATTAGAAGTATTGTATTAAGATATTTAGAAAATTGTTTTATCTTAATTCCATCAAAAATAGATCCATATTTAGTTTAGATAGCTTTATTATTCAAAGCATATTTCTTCATTTAGGATAGTGCTATAACAAAATAAATGCTGAAAAGATATATTGCACTTGCTACACAAGCTAATAAAGAACTTAATCTTATAAACATATTTGATGAATTCAATTCTAAGGCATACAATTATAATACTACACTGAAAGTAAAATCATATGCAGTTGCTATATGAGCACGTAAGATTCCACTATAAAAGAATTCTGAAACAATAGTAAAACAAAGTCTATTAATGATATACTTAATAGTTAGATAGTATACTCCAACTTTGACAAGCCAAGAACCTTCTGTCTAAGATTCAGAAAAAAATTTAAACTTAATTAATTATAGAATTTTAGGTATAGTTTAGATAATAACTTTTTTTGTTACTTTTAATGGTTGATTATTTTGCAAAGCAATTTGAGTCGACTAAATCACTTTTGCAATTGCAAAGATAAAAAATAGAGAAATCCAAACTGTAATAATTGTTGCTGCATTAATAACAAATAATGATGTTATTCCATCATTTGCTATTTTCGTGGGTATTTGCTTTAATTCTTGTGTATTAAATATCTAATCAATAAACCCTGAGAAATCAAAAAACTTTTATATAAAGTTAAATTAAGCAAATCCAAAAAGTTGAAAGTAGGTTGATAAATTATAAGGGAATTATGTGTTAAGATATTTCAAATAAGATAGCATTTGGAGAGTATCTAACAAATTAAAAAAGACTTCAACTCCTCCAAGTAACACAGATCCCCCACACATTGCTCCAATAAAATAGAGCATATAAAAATTACTATTGGTTGCTAATTGCACCTAAGCAATGGTGTCTTCATTTAAGAATATCACCTTTGGTATAAGACAGGAAACCTCCGTTTCAATTTGGGGGTATCCTTCATTTGAATAGATGAATGAATTATTTAAGAATTTGATCATTAAGATTTCATTTTGTGAACTTCTCGAAAAAGAGATGTTTATCATCAAAATTAACTGGGATTGATTAAACTCATTAATCTAAGTATCTTGTGTGAGTTTCAAGGATTGATTTACTAATTAAACGCCATGATTGTTTGAAATATGTAAGGATAGATAATCTTTAATTAAAAAACATCTGTTATAACAATTTGAGAGGTGTAGGATAATTTAAATAATCTGATAGCAGAATAAACCTAAGAAGTGCCTTCACTCTATAATAATGGCTTTGGATAATTTGGTAAGATACTTACACCATTTAGAAATATAAACTTCTTTTCTAGTTTACATTAATCATCGCATCCATCTCCTTAAATAAGATTTCCGTCATCACATTCCTCCTCATTTATTTTAATATAATCTCCACATTTATTATGACAAAATCCATTTATCTCGTCTGCATAATATCCTGATTTACAGAATTAACATTTATGATTGTTCTATTATGGAAATTTACAACTTATACAATTATAAGCATTATCAATACATTCCAAACAGTTGATTGAACATAAGACACAATCATTTTTATTTAAGAAATAACCCGCTTTACATTTTATACATTAAGATTTATTTGTGTAAGGAATAAGTAAACATTAAATGCAATTGGTAGAACATTGAAAAAAAATAGATTGTTTTAGTATTTTATTACAACAAAGAGTAGTTATTATCAATCTTACAATTAGAACAACCGTCTCTATTTACATTATTTCCATCATCGCATTCTTCCCCATAAGTCCAAATTAAATCTTTGCAATCTTAATATTTGCAACTTTCTTAAGATTTTCCCAATTAATCCGAGCATGAAATGCAAATTCGATTTTCACTTTCAAAATAATTTTAAGCACAGACACATTTATTATTGTCTAAAATCCGATGAAGACTTTATTCACAACTCAGACAATTAAATTAATTATCGATACAAGTTAAACAGGATTAATAACACTAAGAACAACTGTTTTGATTCCAGAAATAACCTGAACTGCAGTTACATTCAAATTTCAAATTTAAGTGTAAATTAGATAGCAGTTCACATTCTTAACATATTGTTTTACTTAAGCATTTTTTACATGGATATTCACATTTATGACATTGATTCTACTATTCATAATATCTTTCTTTACAGATGCATTAATTATTAGGATCAATTTCATAATTAGATCTACAAGTAAGACATTTATTAGATGATTCATTACAAGTTTCACAATTTTGATTGTATGATTCGCATTTCTAATCCAACAGATAATAACCATTAAAGCATAAATCACAACTAGATGAATTTCCACATACTTTACAATAAGGAATACATGGTTCACATTATGACAATTAACTGATAAAGTCTTCCTCTTAACAAATTTCACAATTGATTTGATTGAAGCACACATCACAATGATCAATACATTATAAACACCTACTAATTATGGATAGATAGAATCCCTTCATACAATTATTACAATTATCTACTCCTTCGCAATCTATGCAATATTTATCACAACAAAAGTTTCCCTTCTATACAAATCCTACTTTACATAAACATTAATAATCTTTGATTATTTAATTAGGATCTATGCATGATAGACATTCATTAACTGTGTTGATACAATTAGAACATGGATTTTTACATTGAAGGCATATAACGCCTTGTTAGAGATATCCAGATTTACAAACACACTACTTATTCGAATCTAAAATTTAATTTATATCTAAGCAGGTGATACATCCATTTGTATCACATTCAAAACAAGGTTCTATACACTTTACACATGTGGTTAAAGTATCTGAATAGTAAGTTGATTTGCAAACACATTACGATATTTAATTAAGTTCATGATGAGGATCCACACATGTCAAACATTTTGAGGTAGAAATGTCACAAGTTTTACATGGCTCTAAACAAGATATGCAGAAGTAATGCTCATCTTAAATCCATCCAGAATCACATTCACATATCTCAGGTTATTAATGTAATTCTTAACAAGTAATACATTTAGTTATTGTATCTACACAAACTAAGCATGGCAATTCACATTTAATGCATGTGATACCATCGTTATTTAAAATCCAACCTATGTTACATTAGCATTGATGAAGAGAAGTTACTGCTTAATTTCTATCAACACAGGATAAACAGTAATTCTAATTTGTTTCACAAGTTTAACAAGGACTTAAACATTTTTAACATTTTTAAGGAAAATAGCCAGATTAACATTCACATTTATATTATGTATCTTAACTTAATGTAAAAGTAGAGATACATTATGTACAATCATTTGGATTGTTTACGCACTTTGAACAGGGTGTAATACAAAGCTAACATTAATTTGATGCATCACTATAATATTCATCATTGCAAACACATTATAAATTGTTTACTGTTTTATTACTATCAATACAAGAACTACACTCATTTGAGTTGTTGATACAAGCAGAACAAGGAGACGAGCAAGGAAGACATTATGAATTTGAAAGATATTAGCCAACTTCACATGATGTACAAGTACAACTAGTATCTTAACAAGTCTTGCAAGAAATATCACAAATTGAGCAAATAGTTCCAATAGTTTAATAGGGATCCTCACAATTTTAACATACAGTGCTAGATGTGCAAGTGGCACAATAACTAGGGCAATCTAAACAATTCGAGCCAGATTTATAAAACTTTGGAAAGCAAGTTGAGCAATCTCATGAATTGCTAGAAACTTTAACACCATCTTAACAAGCCCCACAATAATAAACTATATGATATGCATAACCTAAAAAAAAAATAGATAAAAAGTATTACGATAAAATCCTGGCAAGCATGTGTTACATGTTGTACTATTTGGACAAATTTAACAGTCAGATGGACAATTGCTTACATTTCTACAATAACCTTCAACCTCAACATATCCTAAATCGCAACCCTATGTTACGAAAATGGTTATAATAGCTTTCCTGACATAAACAGCCTATTAAAATAAGGCAGATTCTAAATACTTGGTTGGACATAAAAAAAAATAATAATATCTGAAAAATGATGATGCAATCGTTTATAAAATATTGAGTAATCGATTTCAAATTTTTAATCAATTTTACAGAGACTTAAATTTTTGTCATTTGTTTATTTTTCATTGAGAAATAAGCAATTTGCATTATTGATATATTTATAAATATTAAGTTTGAAGATATCTATATCTTTTAATAATATTATTTAATTATAAAATTAAAATAATAGTATATATATGGGATCTGATTTCTTTTAAAATATTATTTAAAACAAAGTACCTCAATTTGTAATATTTATTTAAGTTAAAAGTTTATTGATTGATAATTATTAATGAATTTTCAACCCTTTAAATAAACTTTATTCGAATTGAATATTTTAATTTTTATTTCTCTATTATTTACTTAATATTTATACTATATTTTTAATTCAAACTATTGAATGATAACTTTTATTTAATAGCAACTGAGTGTTTAATGCAAGAAATTTATCAAATCATCTTCTTAAGTCTAATTAAGTTAATCATTAAAAAAAAGAATTTAAATTTGTAATTATTAAAGAAAAAAAATACTGATTAATTAAATTATGTTTGGATAATTCGTGTAGAATGTGATATTGGATTATTAAAACAATAAAAATTATAAATACAGCCATAAGTCTAAATGAAGCGAATTAATACTATATATAAATTGTTATGATAAGGAAATTAAATAGATAAAGTTCAAGCAATTCAACCAATGCATTCTAGTCAAGATTTAGTTGGAAGTAGCAATATCATAGACAAAGAGTTACAAATAATGTAAATAGAGAAGAATAATAATATTTGTAAAAATAAATTATATAGCAATACAGCATTGAATAGAGATGTTTTAAAATAAAGTAAACATCTTTTTAGAATAATTCACTATTATTCATATATTAAAAATAGTATAAATTTTCTTGAATAATTGTTTAGCAAGTTGCAGAAAAATATAAATCGAATAATTATTCAATATAGAAATTCCGATTTGATTCTGCTCAATTTTCCTTAAAGCTAGAATCTTAAGGATTAAAGCATAGATTCCAATATATAAACTCTTATTTAATTTGTATACTTTTCATTAGATGAAAATTCTATTAAGAAATCTTATCCTTTTCTTTTTAATATAGAAAAAACTTTTTCTCGGTTTAATCAAGAGCAAAATAGGTTACACATTTTGATAATTATTCTGCATAAATTTAGATTTAAATAAATTAAATTACTGGATATCCAAAACTATTGTAAGAAGAATTATATAATAGATTAATTTTTAACCTTATGTCTTTTTCTACCACACACACTTAAAACATGTTATTCAAATAAAAAAGATTTTATTTGAGTTAAATAAATAAATGTACGCATATCTGACAAAAGCAAAAATTTGTTTATGATAAAAATTAAAAATGTTACGCTGTTTGATATAGAGGCATATAAAATGGATTGTAGTGTGTTGAAATAGGTGTTAGTAAGCCTGTTACATGTTTCATAATTAATATTGTTCTTAGAATGCCACTATGTCATAATGATAAGATACAGATGAAGGTTTAAAATTGCTGTAGACATTAGCCTCTGATTTTTAATTTAGGGCTCGAATTTCAAATTGTACAGCTTAGATTGAGAGGAGAATATATTTAAGAATAAAACAAATTTTTGTAAAAAGTTTTATTAGCAAAATCACAGTTTGAAAAAGTAAAAATTTAGAATACCAATGAATCTACCCTTTTTCATGCATGTATTAAATATAAAATCTTTAAAATTTTTAATCAATAAAATTAAAAAATAAAACAAAGTTTTACAGTTAATCATTTATATTAATTATTGTAAAGAAAGGGTTCTGTAATTTATATCTCATTTAGATGTCTTATATGATTTTATCATAGTTGTTTCTTACTTAATTTAAGAAAACTCTGAAATTCAAGTCTAATTTAAATTAAGTATTGCTTTATAGATGCTCTACTAAGAGGAAGTTATTCTTGAAGAATTTAGTAGTTTTAATATATATAATAAATATAAAGCTATTCAGCAGGTTATGTGCATTTTTCTTTAGAGTTAGAATTTTTCATTTATTCTTCATTAGATTGTTCAGTAATTTTAAATGTTTGAGCAATTTATTTTTCTGAATTATCACAAATTTTTACTTCCTAACTATTAGGTTAAATGGCGATTCTCTTTTTCAGCACTCTAAAATGTTTTTAATCTTAATTTAATCTAGTGTTTTTTTGGAAATAATATAGGGTAATTAAAAGAAAATTAATTTAAAATTCTTTATATCAATGATATAAGATATAATTCTAATCCTAACTTACTCATTCTAATTTAACTTTTTAGTAATTAAAATGACAAATCATAAGAAAACTATATTGATTAAGTTTTATAATTAATGTTTTCTTTTGATGAGTATTGAAAATGTTAATTAATCTTATTTATTAATAAGTCTTTTCTCAGTTGTTGTTTATCTTTAAATTTAATTCTGGTTCAAAAATATTGTATAAATAAATATAACTAATTAAAATTTCAACTAATTATAGCTTATGATTAATATGCTGAATCTTAAGGAACAAGTTTAAAACACAACATTTATGAAGGAGATAATAATATTTAGAAATAAGCTTCGATACTTGTGGAACTTCAATCCCTATTACAATAACGAATGGTCTATATGAACCAAGTGGAGTTCTTACTAAATTTCATTAGGTTAATGTATATTCCATCAATTATCAAATAAAATTAAGTTAAGCAACTTTTATATTAGGGATAATACTGTAATTCAATATTGGCTAAATCCATTATACTCTAATTCTACTTAAATTCTATTCCGATATCATTGCCATTCAAATCCACACTTTGAATCAGTAATTTTAAAATTTGATTGCTTCTATTTTTTAAATGTTTTATTTTTAAGGGGAATGATGAAAGTTAAATAATTAAAGTTGAGTAAAAGTGAGAAAAAGACTCTAAAATTTTCAGCATCAATAAACCTCACAAAATGTTAAAATTCAACTAGTATAAAAGTTCTGAGGTGTAATAAGCAATTAAAGTAAAGTTATTCATTCTAAATATCATTTATGCACTTTGATTATATTCTAGTATAATAGTTATCGATCAGTGACTTTAGATTTTATTCATTATTATCTTTCTTTTTAGAGGGATAAGATTCCTTGTTGTGCAAATAAGTTATATAATCATTTTGATTGGAGGTAAGAATAAAGGCTTTATGCTATTCTAGAGATTCTAATTAATAATTTTTTTATATTAAATTACAATATAAATTTTTGATTAATGAAAATAATTCTATATAACATATATTTTTCTTTTATAATTAAATTATTTTAAATATACAATATTTGCATTAGTTTTGATTATATGTATTTAGAGTTAATCTAGTTTGAGTATAAAAGTAAATAACACAAGAGGTTTATGATGAAAGTTTTAAACTAAATGATTTAACATTAATTAGCAATTTAGAATTGAGAAAAACTGACTGAAGATTGGGCATCTCATAAATGTTTTAAATTAATTTCCTACAAGCAATGTCCCTTCTCAAAAAGAGAATACAATCCCTTTTAAGACCAATTAGATTATAAAGAGGAAAGATTAATAATATTGGAAGTAAGACTTGGAGGAATCATACTTACAGAGATTAATTAAAAAATAATTAGGTGACAAAATGGAGGATTCATTAGAAAACAAAAGTAGATAGGCACAGCAAAATAATAATAATAATTTTTTGTTACAAAAGATATTAGAGTCATATAGCATTGTCGGTTTTTATCTGGAGATTCACATATGGTATGATGAGGATCTAAAATTTTTTCCTCAATATTTGAGTATTTGATTAATTTGAGTTGTAACTTGTTCCAACCTAATAAGATAAATACTAAATACTGAAATAGAGAAATAAAATATGAAGCGATCCTAAAGCAACTTTGAGTGTAACAAAAACAACTCTTTTTATAAATGAACACTTTTGAAAAGCTGCAACATGTCTGTATTGAATAGGTTGGATAATTAATTAATGCACAAAAGAATTAATAATTAATACAATACAATTGTATTAATTTTAATTTTATATACATAGATATTTATCAATCTGTTAACTTGTCTGAATCAGACAATTTTCCTGGAGATCCCTTACTTACATAAATTTAGATTCTTTATAAGTTTTTTTACAGTAGTAGATGACAATACTCCAATTTTAAATTAAGTGGTGCTCTGATTTAAGTTCAGCCTTAATTTTTTAATGATAGGAAAAAAATCAGTAGAGATACTCTCATATAATGTTTCATACTTTTCTTATATTGATCACTAATTCTTTGATTGCGTATCATTCTTATATTAAAATTCATTTCTTCTTTATATATCCATGTATCAATTTCTGTTATATCATATCATTCATATATTCATTAATAATTCATCAATCAATCTTTCTAATTTAATGTGAACTTCTAATAAAATTGCTTTAATTTATGATGAATAACTCAAATCATTGATATTTAATCTTATTAAATCTGATTTATTTAGGTTATCAATTTATTTAAAGAAAAAATTTACTACTGTATCATCACATAAAGAAGTTTCTTAAACATCTCGGGTTTCATGTTATTTTGAAAATAAGCAGGCTAGTACTTCTATGATTTTATTACTTTAAAATAAGATAAAATAAATTGGGACCTTAACGCAAATGTCAAATAGCTATAAATAAATAATCATTCATAGAAAATTTGCTGACTCAATTATTTTTTCAAGATAAAGTATACTATAATATTTCAATATAGTAGAAAGTTAAACTTCATGGTCAAAAAATGCAGTGGTTCAATAATGAAGAATATTTAAAAAAAGCATATTAATTTAAACTTATTCTAAAATATTGTTCCACTTTTGAAAATGATGAGAGGATAGATTTAAAAACTTTTGATTTAATTAAATTGTATCAAATGAACTTATTAGATGAGTTATGAAATTTGATCTCAAAAATAATGATCATCGTACAGTATTGGGATTGTTGTCGATTTAACTTAGGATTTAATACAATTTAAACATAAATAAACAAAGCAATAAGGATATCTGGAAAAGCAAAGAAGTAAAATAATTTTATTTAGATTCTTTAAGTATGCATATTCAAATGAATAAATATATCATTAATGAAAAATTTAAAGTAAAAATAAATATTGATATTCTTTTGATAAGATTTTATTGAGAATATTTAGAATTTAAGGGAAGTATAAATTACAATAATTTATATTTATAACTACAAATAATTGAATTAATTTTTATTAATTATTTTAATTAAAAGATTTGTAATGTAAAGAAGAAATGATTTAAATTTTATTTCCCTTAAGGGGGATATTAGAGCTTCAAATAACTAACTTCGAGGTGGAGGGTGTGGTTTATCCAAATCAAAGGGGATAAATACAAAAGATATAATAATGCCAGAGAGTGAAATTCCTTTTGATTTTTTGAAAAAATTGAACGACAACGTTAGTATAATAATTGGGAAGGCCTCTTTAATATTAGATTAAGGATAAAAGGTTGAAGTTTTAATGGCAATTCAATGGATTTTTCATAATAGGGAACATTTGAATACTTGTTGTTTTTCTAAAAAATTAACAACATCTATTTATAATTTAGTGCTCAACAATTTTGAAAAAATCTTAAAAATCCTTCCAATTTATTTAAGGACTGATTGGTATCTATGTTATCAAGTGCTATAAATTTGCAATGAATTGGCTCTCATAATCTATTCATTTTAACTAAAAAATGATGAATGCGGATTTCTAGCTTAAATGTTAAATAATGATAGAAATTTTTAAGTGCAAAAATAATAAGAATATTTAAATGACCTTGAGGAATTTAAAACTTAATTAGAAATTGAAAAAGCAAATGTTTGGAAATGCGGAATTGAATTTGAATTAAATCTAATCAGAATAATGTTAATTAATGCTAGTACTAATTCATAAGAGGGTAAATAATTACTGATTGATATTATAAAAAACATTGGTTAATCTATTATCTCAATGTCACCAACTGATGATTTAATCCCAAGTTTAATGAATGGAGCAAAATTTTTACTTCTTAAATTTAAAAATAAAGTATTGTATCCTTTAGAAGTTTATGCAACTTTTTATTTATTTTAAACTATTAAATGGTCAATTATAAAACAGTTAAGATCTAAATATTCCGTTTATAAATAAATTAAGTAATTAAAAGATACATTCTAAGAATATATATTATTATCAGATAATTGGATTTTACATTCATGTTGGATTATGATGATTGTTGATATTTTAGCTTACAGACCAATTATTAATAAAAATGCCATAATTACAACTACAATTGAATAATATTAAAAATGGAATAAATTAATTGAAGAAGGATTAATTCATTGTGTTTCTTATAATCCAAATGAAGCCTAAATTGTTTTATTTGTAAATTAACAAAGAAACTGTGATTAGGATCTAGTAAATTTGTTAGAAGCTAAAGGCAAAATAAAATTAGAATTGTTTTAATTATGTCTCTTAACTGGGGATTTAACATAAAATTTTAATATATGGGATTTCTATAAGAATTTCTCATTTTAAAAAAACAAATAAATTCAACAGAAAGATTATGAAATTCTATTAGCTAATAATGAATTAGCTATTTTAGAAAAGTCTTATTTTTATTTGAAATAGTCAAAAGATGAACTATGTGCTAATTAATTATAAATTTTAGAATTACTAAATGATGAATTTTTATAATCATAAAAAAAAGAACTTTCAAAAAAATTATACTAAGATGAATTAAAAGTTCTTTTAAAACAGTTTATAAATTCATATAAAAAAGCAATTTATCACATAAGAATCATTTAAGAATTTATGTTTTTTGAATAATACAAATTAGATTTGCTTACTCCTTACTTTGATTTTTTAGAATATACACCAAAATGGAAATTAAATTAGATTCTGAAGAAAATTCAAGACACTTTCAAAGAATAACTTGAAAATTTTTAAATGGAATTTTTTAAAGAGTACATAAAAGCTGTTGAATATGTTAGTTAAATTTCTATCACCAATCTCAGCTTATAATAAATAGAAAGAGAAAATCTAAATGTTATTTGTTAAAAATTTAAGATCCAAAATTTGTAAGATTTATTTAATGGTTTTGAAACATAATTTGATTAATTTATAAAGAATATTAGAAGTTTTACAAATAAATTTATCGAATCAGTTCCAGAAAAGAATAGCAATTTGATTTGTTTTAAACGGTAGGGGATGCTTGATTTTTTGATCTCAACTTCTTCTATCAATTGGATTTAAAAATTAATAGAAATTACTAGAAATTCGTTTTTATAAATATTTAAGGAGCTCGATGTTGTAAATGAATAGAAAATTGATACTATATCTGATTTAAATAATAAATTGATAAATTGTAAAAGAGAAACAATTATTGCAAAGACTTTAAAATAAATATTGTAAGCCTAATATTATAGATTATAAATTTTTAGGGAGAAATTTAAATTAGAATAGATACCATTAGAATAATAAATTGGATAATTGGATTAATAATTCATACTAAATTTGATTGATCTCATTAGGTAAGAAAAAGAAAAAATTCAGGATACAATTAAATAAAAAGAAACAGAGGATTAAGAATTAAATTTCGAAATAAAAATTAAAGAGATTCTTAAAATGATTAAGAATGATTATACGAAAATATTGAATGACGATTAATAAATTAATAATGAAACCATTGGAATATATTAATCCGCTTTAGATTTAATATCAAAAGCATAATTTAACTTATTAAAAGTTTTGAATTAAACTGGCGAAAAAAAATGCCTAGCTAAATTAATTAAAAAATATGATGATTTTATTAATTCCAATGAGTTAGTATATAAGAAGAAATTGGATTTAGGCGAAAAAATATTTCAATAGAAAGTCAACGATAAATCTAATAATGTATTTTCAAATTATTTTGATTTTTATTAAAAAAAGATTAATTCTAATTTAGAAATTATTTAAGGTGCTTACAAACGTTTAAAATCTTATAAATCAATGATATCACTTGGATTAGATATTATTTTAAATTTAAAAGAAAAAAATATAGATTTAAATACTTAGATAGCAAAATTAAAAGTTAAGAGTAATAAAATATTTTAAAATTTTAATGTAGAAGAATTTATAACAAAACTTGACGTTATAAATCGAAATGATAAAGTTTTGGAAGTTTACGACTATTTTGATATTTAATTTACATTGGAATATTTTATTACATTCTCAGATATTTAATCTTCGCATGAGAATTGTAAATCTTAAACTGTGGATCATATTTATTTATCTATTTTAAAAGATTTAGAATAATAATAAATAGAAATAAAAGCATCTATATTGGAAATTTTTGATTTAAAAACTCCACATAAAGTGAAAGAATTTTTAGTATTTAATTTAATTCGTCTTTAATATAGTGTTTAAGAGAATTGTATTACTTAATTTTCGTCTAAATTACTCTAATATTTATGGATATTTGAAAAAGATTAGAGAGTTAGAAGTTTATTAAAAAATAAGGAAATGATAGAAATGTAAAAATAATTATTCTCTTCAAATTTATAATCGTCAGCAGATTAAATTAAGTAAGAAATGAAATAAAGAATAAATAATCTTGAAAATTTGTAATAGGAAATTAGATTAGAAGGAAATTTAACAATAAGAGATTAGATCTAAAAAAAATTAGAAATAGCGTATGAGGAACTTGATTAATACATAGATAATTTATCAGAAATGTCTTAAAAGATGGAGATGAGTTTGCAATTTCTTAAGGATATATAAAAGGATGTAAAATTTATAAAAAATTAAATGGAAAATTTATAAAACAGTTTAAATTAGGTAGGAGATGATATAAGAAAGTTGAGAGGAAAGAAATATTATGAATTATTGGAAATAAGAAAATAAAAAATTCTATAATAATCTAAGATATTGGAAATTGATTCCATTTATGTATCAGTAAAAACATTAGAATTTGATCCAATAAGTAGTAATATTAAAAAAACACAATAAGGCAAATAAATATCATAATTACTAAATGATGATTAGTATAATTTTGATGGAGAAGTAAATGAGTTTATTTGGGATGAAAGCGAAACGAAAGATGTGATGTTATTGTAAGGTAGTGCTGGTTCTGGTAAGAGTAGAGCAGCCAGAAAAATTGAAGAATTTATTTGGAATTTACATGGAAAATCATCAAAATGGATACCAATTTATGTATCTCTTCCAAATTTAAAAAATCCAAAATACAATTTATTCTAATAAGCTTTAGAATCTGAGAATTATGGATTTGATAAACATCAAATAGAAGAGTTTAAAGAAGCAATATAAAATAAATAAGAATTCATTTTAATGATATTAGATAGTTATGATGAAATGAAACAGGAATGTGTTTAACAAAATCTAATATTGACTAATAAGCTTATTTAAGATCTAAATATTGATAAATAATAAAGATAACTTAAAGTAATAATCACTACAAGAAAAGAGATACTGAATGTTGTTGGATATTAAACATGGTTTTATGGAGAAAGTCTTGAAAGTTTGAAAGAAGTCTAATTATAAAATTTTGATTTAGATCAAATATAAGATTATTTAAGAAAATATGTTGAATTAAGCGTAAGGAGAAAGATCAAATATATCTATGAATTTATAAAGTATTCATAAAATTCAACTTTTGATCTAAAAGAGTTTTTAGAAATTTGGCAACTTATTGAGAAATAAGTAAAATGTGCATCAGAAGAAACTAAATAAACAGATGAAGAGATTTTTAGAAAATAAGATTTAGAAAGTTTACTGCAAAAAGTTACATCTCATAAAACTTTAAAATGTTTAAAGGAAGAACATATAACTACGTTAAGAAAGGATTTAGAGCCATTATGGAGTGTAAATAAATTTGAGAAGGCTATAAAAAATATAGGTATTTTAGATCTTTTAACTACGCCTTTCATGTTAGAAATAATAGTATAGGTTTTACCAAATATGACAAAATAGTATAAAGGATCAATAGAAATAAAAAATTTATTTATATAAAACTATATAAAAATAATTAAGAAATAGAAATTATCATAGCAATTAAGAAACTTAGATATGCAGAGTTAAGATTTTTATAATCAAAACGAAAACAATAAAAGTTATTAAAATTAAGTTAATGATGATGTTTAACAAGTGGATTAAAATGATTATGAAAAAAAAAAAATAGATAGTTCTGAGAAAGATAGAAAAAAATTGAATGAAATTATTGATTAATTAGATAGAAAAAATTTCTTTTCATTTTATTCAATAACTAGTGTTTTAATTTCTAAAAATAACTCAATTTAGGTAGATGACATATAATTTGATTTTGAGATGGAAGTCGATACTGTTATTTAAGCATTAAAAATGTAAAAATTAACTATATTTGAATTTTATGATAGTTTCATAAAATTTTATCATTATTAATAAATGCAAAAGTAGAGGGAAAAAGGTACAATTCCAAACTATGAAAGTTTTGAGTTAGATATTTATTAATTTTCATAATCTTTGGCTTTAGATATGACAATAAGAGATTTATCTTAAGTAAATTATAAATAAAAAGGAAAATTAGAATTAGAGAGTAAGTTTAGTAATTTTTAAAATGTTGATGATTGGCCAAATTAATATTTTAGTCATAATTTAGTTGATAAGGACTACAATAAATTAATAAGAAGTTGTATTCTTGTAAATGCTAAAGGGAGTACTTATTCATTTAATCATAAATCAATTTAAGAATTTTATGTTGCAAAGTATATTTTGGAATTAATTCTCTTTTTCGACTGTGAAATTTCACTTGAATCCTTATAAAAAATTGAAAAAGAGAAATAAATTTTAATTGGTTCTCTATATAATCAAATTAAATTAAATATATCAAAAGAAAATCAAATAGGAATATCTAATTTTGTTAAAGAGAAATTGTAAAATATTGAAGGCATAAATAATACATTAATTAATATAGTTAAACTTTCTAGAGATGAGAAATTTAAATGTGCTGCATCAAATAGTATTTATATGTTAAATTAATTAAATGCCTAATTAGAATCATAAGATTTTAGTTCAATTTAATTATCAGAAACTAATATTTCAGGATTAAGTTTTTTTAATAGTGATTTAAGTAATACTAAGTTTGAAAAAGTAAAAATTAATTCATGCAATTTTAATTATGCTGATCTTACTGGAGTAGTTTGGGAAGAAATAATTTGTAAAGAAAAACCTTATTTATAAGGACATCAATCAGAAGATTTAATTGCATAATTTTCACCTAATGGTTATTTGATTGCTTCTGGAGGCTTAGATAAATAACTAACTCTTTGGAATACTGATAGTTATGGATAAATTAAATAATTTGTAGGTCACACAAATAATATTAATTCTATCTAATTTACTTCTGATAGTAATAGACTTATATCTTCTAGTGATGATTTCACAATTAAGTTATGGGACATAAGTAATCCCTAATAGCCCTAATTACAAGTTACAGTATAAAATGATAGCGCCGTTAAACAAATTGTTCTTTCTTATAATAATAAATTGTTAATTTCTAGAAGCGATTAAAATTTTAAATTATGGAACATGCCTAATCTTTATTTGGACTGGGATACAACACTTATATAAGGATAAAATGATGGTTCAAAAATATTTGCTTACTCTTCAGATGAAACAAAAATGGCTATTGGTAAAAATGATTCAACTATTTTAATAATTAATCTTATGACAAAAAAGGAATAGAAATTGATTGGTCATATAGGAAATATTTAAGCATTAGCATTCGCTCCTGAAGGAAAAATTTTAGCCTCTGCATGTTCAAATTTCCATTTATTTATATGGGATTTGAGTTCCTTTAACTTAATTCAAGTGCTTTTATATAATTAATTTTAAATCAATCAGTTGGCTTTTATTTAAAATGATAAATCGATAATAGTAAATTGCTACAATAGCTTAGCTTTAATAGAATTGGAAAAATTAAAAACATTTGAAGAGATTTCGATTAATTAGTGCTAAATTGCTTATCTTTCTTAATTTGATGAAATTTGTATATTAGGATAAGATAATTATATAGCAATTCTAGATCTCAATACATTACAAATAATAAATAGCTTTGAATGTGAATTTATAGTGAAATCAATATAAATATCAAGTGATTCTTTAAAACTATCTACATAAGGAAACTCTTAACTAATAATCTGGAGTTTATAAACATTACAACAATTGATAAATTTGAAAGACTAGAGATTTTAAACATTTTAATATTTGATTTATTTAAGAGAAGATAACATAAATGAGGATGTATTTGAGCTTTCTTAAAATTTTTAATTTGGTGTTAATTATACTAACAAAGATGCAAGAATTTTTAATATTTAAAAAATAGCTTAGTCAAATAATTTTTAATTTAATGTACTATAAGACACAAATTGTGAGAAATTTGATTTTACAATAAATTTAAATTATGAAATTTTAGCTTATCAAACTTAAGATGATCAAGTAATTCTGTTTGATATAAATAAAAAATAATATTTAGATATTTTAAAATTAGATCGAGATTCATTTAAAAGTTTTGTTTTTTCTCCTTCACATAATATTTTGGCATCAGCACACTATAGTAAAAAAATTATTTTATGGAATTTAGAAAAATAACCATATTTAAGTTAAGAATTAGTTTCCTTCTTTTCATAATATTAATTAAAGGATTTTAAATATTCTTATGATGGATCAATGTTGATCCTTTTAGATTCAATTTCAGCAATATTTATATGGAATTCATTTGATGGTGTTCTAAAATATAAGATAGATGAAAACTATAAGATAGAAAAAGAGATAACTATATCAATAAACAATTAATATATAGCATATATAGATAATCGATAAAATGATAAATTAATAATCTGGAATTTTTCTTTAAAGAAAGAAGAAAATCTTTTGAAAGAAAACATTTGTGATGTAAATATAATCAAGTACTTTCTTAATTAAATGAGATTATTTTCTTGTAGTCATGATTAAAAAGTAATTTTATGGAATGCAATTGAAGGAACTGTTGAGTATTAAATAAACTGGACTGGTGAATATATTACTTAAGTTTGTTTTTCAAAAGATGGAAATCTTATGGCTTGGGCTGAGAAGGAGATAATTCATTTATGGGATTGTTCAAAACTAGAAATTTAAATGTTAGGATGTGAAAAATTTTAAGCTGAAATTCATAGATTGAATTTCTTCGGTAATTAGAATAACTTAATTTATAAATTGAGGACATAAATTATTAGCCTTCCTCATAATGTTGTAAATTTAGAATCGGTGATTAAGTTGAATGAATAACATTCAAAATCATAATTGAGTTCATTTTCTCAAAATGATTAGCTCTTTGCTATTATTTAATCTTACACAATCTAAATATATTTAGTTAAAGGATGGGCATTATATAAAACTTTAGTTGGAGTTTCTGATATTTAAAGTATTATTTTTTTTTCTAATGGGAATTAATTAATTTCCTCGAATATGTATGGAGATTTTACCATTTGGAATGTTCATTCTAGTTAAAAAATAGTTACTTTTAAGACTTATACAAATTTAAAAAAATTATATCTTACTAATTATGATAAACTATTAGTGTTAGTTGGAGAAGAAATAAAAATTTGGAATATAGAAAATACCAAAGATATTAAATTATGTGGACTGTATTCAAAATAATTTGAATAAAATGTTGATTTTTCTATCAAAATCTCTCTCAAAAAAGATTATTTTTGCTTTAACCCCACTCCTAGAAAGTTCATCATAAAGTAATTTAAAGAATAAGAAGATATAAAATTTTATTAACATTCATATATTTAAAAATTATAAATATTTGGAGAAAATTAATTATGTTTTATTTGGGATGACAAAAATAATCCCATAATATTATCTCTAAAAAATGAATAAATATTTATGAGATTAAAAGAGATCACTATAAATGGTGTTTTAGATCTATTTAAAATTTAAGATATAACCATTTCTCATAACTAATAACTATTAGCAGTAAAAGAACACTCTCAAATTTTAATAATTTAGATTTAGGAGAGAAAAATAACATGTTTACAGACATCCTATGATTCATTTGGAAACAATCTTTTTTTTAATAACAATGGAGACATGTTAGTTGAGGTGGGCAATCAATAAATAAGCCTATATTCAATAAATAAAAAATTTGAATTAAAAATAGATTGGATTAGGAATTTTTATTATAAAATTAAACTTACAAAAATTACTTAGAACAATTCTTTTTTATCAGTATTACTTGATTCAGGTGAGATTTTAATAATTAATTTGCTCGCAAAACAATAAATTGCTGAAATACACTGTGAAAATATAAACTAGATTGCAATATCTCTTGATGATAAATATTTATTTGTAATAAGTGAGATTTTTTTGAAAAAATTTGATATAAATTAATTGTCTTTTACTTAATACATAAAATTATCTTAATAAATAAATTGCATGACTCTAATAAATAATAATTAAATCTGCATTGCTGATCAAGATACAATTTATTTAATAAATTTAGGTTAAGAAATATAATAATAAGTAACAATTGGTAAACCTTGCGAAAGTACTCATTTAGCATATAATCCTAAATTAAATTTATTAGTTTCTTGTGGAAAAGATAAAAAGATTTATTAATGGAATATTGAAGCAAAGAGAAATATTGGAATATTTGAAGGACATTAAGGTACGATAAATTCACTTAGTTTCTCCCCAGATGGTTTAACACTTGCTTCTTCTAGCGATGATAAATTAATTATAAAACGAGACGTTTATGTTGTAAATTATGGAATATTGAAGCTAATGATTAATTAGATTTGAAGCAAGGACATTAAGAAAGTGTAAATTCATTAGCAATATCAAAGGATAGTTTAATTTTAGCTTCTGGAAGTGAAGATTTAAATATTAAACTTTGGGATTTGTTAGATATAAAATATTTAATAAGTTTAGAAGGGCATACGAGCAAAATTAATTGTTTAGATTTTTCATATTGCTCAAAGTGGCTTATATCTGGCAGTTAAGATAGAACAATTAGATTATGGGATGTAAGAAATCCGAATGATGCAAAAATATAATATGTAATTAATGAAGCCTTTTTTACAATAAGTTGGGTATAATTTTCCCCAAATGGTAAGACATTTGCAACTAAGTTGTTAGATGTTTTGTATGAAAAGCAAGAACATAAAATTTAATTTTGGAATTTAGATAAAATTGGAATTTAAAACATTTAAATAAAGCCACCTAAACTGAAAGCATAATAATCATGTTTTACTCAAAATGATGAATACATTTTTTAAGGGTTTGAAAACAATATTTAAACATATTAATTATAAACTTGCTAGTATGATTTATTGGATGGTCATAAAAATAAGATAATTTTTATTGATAGCTCAAATGATAATACTAAAATTGTTTCAATAGATTTATAATAAAATATGTTTTTATGGAAACATAATAAAAATAAATGGGAAATATAATCTATATCCCTTTTTGAACCTGTTTAAAACAAAGTAATATTTTCACCAGAGAATACTATTATTGCATCTTTAAATGAAAAATCCATAACTTTAACATAAGTCTAAGAACTTAAGTAAATTGAAATCATCAATGAATATAATTTAAATTCTGGTACAATTAGTGTATTAACTTAATCTTATGATGGCTCTAAATTATTGATATAAAGCAGTTAAGAACTATTGATAATTGATCTAAAATAGAGAGAAATATATAAATAATATGATAATTGGTAGTGCGCTGAGCAAATAATTTTATCCCGAGATGGGTAATATATAGCAACATAGACAGACCATGGATCCAAAATTAATATCTATAGCATAGCAGATGTGAAGAGTTCTCTAAAATATTTTCATNTAAATTATGGAATATTGAAGCTAATGATTAATTAGATTTGAAGCAAGGACATTAAGAAAGTGTAAATTCATTAGCAATATCAAAGGATAGTTTAATTTTAGCTTCTGGAAGTGAAGATTTAAATATTAAACTTTGGGATTTGTTAGATATAAAATATTTAATAAGTTTAGAAGGGCATACGAGCAAAATTAATTGTTTAGATTTTTCATATTGCTCAAAGTGGCTTATATCTGGCAGTTAAGATAGAACAATTAGATTATGGGATGTAAGAAATCCGAATGATGCAAAAATATAATATGTAATTAATGAAGCCTTTTTTACAATAAGTTGGGTATAATTTTCCCCAAATGGTAAGACATTTGCAACTAAGTTGTTAGATGTTTTGTATGAAAAGCAAGAACATAAAATTTAATTTTGGAATTTAGATAAAATTGGAATTTAAAACATTTAAATAAAGCCACCTAAACTGAAAGCATAATAATCATGTTTTACTCAAAATGATGAATACATTTTTTAAGGGTTTGAAAACAATATTTAAACATATTAATTATAAACTTGCTAGTATGATTTATTGGATGGTCATAAAAATAAGATAATTTTTATTGATAGCTCAAATGATAATACTAAAATTGTTTCAATAGATTTATAATAAAATATGTTTTTATGGAAACATAATAAAAATAAATGGGAAATATAATCTATATCCCTTTTTGAACCTGTTTAAAACAAAGTAATATTTTCACCAGAGAATACTATTATTGCATCTTTAAATGAAAAATCCATAACTTTAACATAAGTCTAAGAACTTAAGTAAATTGAAATCATCAATGAATATAATTTAAATTCTGGTACAATTAGTGTATTAACTTAATCTTATGATGGCTCTAAATTATTGATATAAAGCAGTTAAGAACTATTGATAATTGATCTAAAATAGAGAGAAATATATAAATAATATGATAATTGGTAGTGCGCTGAGCAAATAATTTTATCCCGAGATGGGTAATATATAGCAACATAGACAGACCATGGATCCAAAATTAATATCTATAGCATAGCAGATGTGAAGAGTTCTCTAAAATATTTTCATCTTCTTCCCCATCCAATTTCTTTTCAATTTAATTAAAATGATTCAAATGTATTATACGTAACACAAAATGCAGAAGACAAAATAATTATTAAAATCCTAAATATTTCTTAAAATACACAAGAAGAAATTTTTTTCTAACATGAATCATCAAATTGGGATAAGTTTTATATATCAAGCAACTTTAATTATGTTGTGGCAATTACAAAAGATTCCAATTTACATGTTATCAACACAAAAAATAATAAATAGTATAATTCCGAAACTTCACTTCTTACTAATAGAACAATTTAATGTTATGCATTTTCACAAGATGATAAATTTTTTATGGTTTCAACTAATCATAATTGGATGTATTTATGGAATATAAATGATTACAAAGAATGTGATGAATTTGAATGTTTCATAAAAAACGATATCATCTATTTAGCATTTTCTTTGGATGATTAAATAATTTGTTGTTAAGAAACTTTAATTTTTTTAATAAAAATAGAATAGGATTAAAAATTAAAAATTATTAGGTAATTTTAATTACCTTATGAAATAAATTTATGCTCTTTTTCTGCTTAAAATTAATAAATTTGTTTGGTAAATCAAAATTCTACTAAATTATTGATAGCCACTTTGATTGACAGACAATAAAAAATCTTAGTTGAATCAGATATTAATGATTTTTGTTTCTCTTCTGATTTCTAATATATTGCAGCCGTAACTAAATCATCTTTAATTTTTCTGGACACCATTAATTATAAAGAATTATTACGGGATAAAAATTGGTTTGGATCTATAATTTAGTTTTTGGGGAAAAATTAATTAATTTTAGGTTTCGAACAAAAATTGTATTTCTTAGATATATCAAATCTTAACCAGATTAAAGAAATAAATTGTATTGAAAATCGTACAGATACAATATGTATATCGGTCTCCAGTGATTTAATTTATTTAGCTTAAAAAGTTTCTTTTAATCGTACAATAAAATTATGGAACATAAAAAATATGTAGTAAATTTTTCTAGAAAGAATTTATAGCAATGGTTATTTTGAAAATTAAAAAGTCTTAATTTCTAAAAATAACAAATTTCTGATTTTCTATTTTAACTAAAGTTTATAATTAATAAATATTTAGGAGGATTGTAAATAATTATTTGTCATTGAATTTAACAATGAATAAGTGAATGGATTTTAATATTCTTCTGATGGTAAGTATTTCGCAACAATAATCGATGGATAGCCAAAGCTATATAATTCTGAGACTTATTAATAAATAGAATTAGTTATTGATGAAACAGAAGTGTAAGAATTAGTTTTTTCTTAAAAAAAAAATGTTTTAGCAATGAATTGCTCAACAAAAGTAGTTTGTTTATAATTTGGGAATGGAATCATTTTAAAGAGATAAGTATTGGAAAAGTTTAATAATAAAATATGCGCAATAACTATATCACCCTTAGGAGATAAATTGATTAGTGGAGAAGCCGATTCATCAATACGATTATGGGATGTAGATAAAGAAAATTGTTTAAGCGTCATTAATAATCAGAATGATTAACCAATTGCTTTTGCATTTTTTCCTAATGGAAAAGGATTTGTTGGGGGTATTAAGGATGGTTCAGTAAATTTATATCGAATTGATTCAAAGAAGAAGACGTCAATGCAAAAAAAGCAAGATTAGCAACAAATAGAAAAATTGGGATTTTAGGATGAAGAACTATTTTGCTCTTGTTGTAAATCCTTTTCAAGAAATTCTTTAATATTAGCTCATAATTGCATATTATTCTAATCCAAAATTGAATAATCAAAAAAGTCGATATCTGAGTTATTTATTTAAAAAGGAGCAATATTTAAATCAATAGAATCCATCAATTGAGTTATAATAACACAAAAAATATAATAATGATAATTATTTTTATTAATAATTCAATCAATTCTTTAGATATCTTTTTATAATCAGTATCTAGTTTTGGGTTTGGTCGTCATATAATATACCTTCCCTTATAATACCTACCATAATCTTTTCAAGGACCAAGATTTTATACCTACCATAATCTTTTCAAGGACCAAGATTTTTGATACCTACCATAATCTTTTCAA